CAAGTTCCACAAGATTATGACTCACTCAGAAGAAGTCACAAACAACAACAAACTGCATTCATTATAAGTGAAAGAAATGAATCAGGAGCCAAAGAGAACGGATGTTGAATTGGACGATATTTAGAAGTTAGTGGAAGTAAACAGGAATAGTCTGGGATGCAGATATTATATAACACAAACAACCTGCAGCACATCTGGAATCAGTTTAGACTTGCTGACAAATGGAAGTATGAACAGCGCCATGACGAGCTAGTGCCACTCTATCAAGAAGCAACAAACAAGTTTAAATACAGTTAAAGACAAACTAATATAAAGCAGAAAAAGAAGATGAATTATAAATCTGTTAACATTTTCTGCCAATCAATGTTTCAGGTTTAAAATGGCCCTAATCCAAAGATATCAGGGCTTACACTTTGGACATCTTTTAGTTCACTTCTCTGTTTTGATGGCAAGAGATGATGGGGTTTGTCTTTGGAAACATCAGATCAAAAAGGAAGGTTTTACGCTTAGCTAAGATCCTGGCTTTTCTACCCTGATTCAAATTGTCAAGAGAGACTGTTCTTTATTTTGTAAAAGGAAAGTCTGAGCCCCCAAAACATGCTTAACCATTCATCTTGCTTTCTCTATGCTTCAACTCATTGTTAGGGCATATATACAAAAAGTAATATGCTAAAAATCAACCCTAAATCATAAGGGATATCGTGACGTCACGGAAATGTTGTATATTGTTTTAGTTAAAGCTATATCGTCAATTAGGGAATTTTGAAGTAGCCCATCTGTTCACTCAGCTTCAATATGTACCCACATTATTCTTGAGCCAAACACAGGAAATGTTCGGTCACTGTACGTGATAAAAGCATCAGCCTAATAGTCAAAAATGAGAACATAGATTTTGTGTTATGGTATTCTATCCTACAGTTAACTTTTCATGTGAGCATCTGCTAAGTGTCTTGGATTTACACATTATTTAAACCATTGCATCATAATACAGCCCACTTGCACATGGACATGCAGAGTATACATCATACAGTCAATGGTATAAACACATCTGCATGGGCAGAGAAACATCTGGCCACTTCAGTCCAATGTTAAGCGAGTTGTCATGAGGTCCTTTGGTTGTTTTTAAATTGGTGACAGCTTTGGTGCTCAGTGTTGTGACTGTTTCCTGCTGGGTATAAGGTGACTCACGAGTGCGTTACATCATGCGCTAGATGGAAACAAACCGGACATTAGTTTATAGGAAAATGCCACACACTTTCAGTCTCCAATGTTTTTCTTGCTCATTCGTGAAATCACTGTTGGACAGCACTGAGAATCTTACAGTCAAAATGTAACTTTTAATCAAAACCTTACATGCTGTCCCGATGACCTACATCCAACTAAAGCCAAGCCAGTCTGGTTAAGTCAGGAATTGAGAACAAATGAAAGGTTTTTACACATTACTTCTTATACTCAGGGTCATCTTCATTCTGCTGACAATCTAAAAGAAGAGCTGAAGTGTTATGCTACTATCAGATGGATTTTGGGTTAAATAGAAAACAAAGATATCGGTGTAGAAAGCCAAGTTTCATGAAGAGCTCTTGACCATCTCAACATTCCTATTGTGTTTTACTGTCTCGTTCTTTCTTTCTGTCAACTGTCATCTATGCTTATGTCCAATTATTCCCATATTGACCTGTGCTTCATTTCTTAGTTGATTTAGGACTAATATTGAAGGAAACGTTGTGGAAGTTAAACGATGATCCTGCTTGCAAGTCGAGAAGGAAAAAAGCAGAGAAACTTGAGGTGGGGGAGGGGAAGTTATAAAAAGAGCAAACACACTCAGTTGACCTTCCCTGAACAAACAACTGAGAAAACAGGAAAATAATGAGTCCTTTGAAGGTAGACCAGATTTGGTTTTCCAGTCACATACTACCGAGTCATTTGTATTATCGATTTCAATTTGGAAGTCAATTTTCAATGAACATGAAGCCTATCTTGATCACTTTTAAGTCTAAGTTCACCCTTTTTACTGTGTGATTACTTGTCTAGCAACACCCTTCATTCTCTTCAGTGATCTCCAAGGACATCATCACAATCATCTTCCTCATTCTCCTCGTCATCATGATTATCCTCCCAATCACCACATTCTCTGAGACTCACATCATCACACTCATTATCCCTAATAGCCCACTGTGTCCTGCTGTCCCATCAACATAATTAAAACCATTATCATTTGTGAATAATTACCATGTGTACATCAGATGTGCGTCTTTGTTTGGTGTGTGTGGTATACAGTATACGTGTGTGTATACATGTGTGTGCACAGTTAGCATGTCAGGCTAAAGAGGTTTTAATGAATTCTGCTTTCAACATGCTGCTCGTTAGTAAAGATTAAAAGCAGCTACTACCCAGAGTATGCTTTTATGATTCTTCCGTAATATTAGTTAATGAAAAACAAAAGCGAAGATTATGATGCCTTCACATCACAAGAGGAGGGTTAAATGCAATTTATGAAGTTGTTGTTGTTGTTTTTTAACATCTACTGAAATATATTCGACTGTAAACTCTTATTCTTGATTAATTTACTTAATAATCCACTTATATGTTAAGGTGTTTATATACAGCCAAGCATAAAGGCAGATTTGGACTTTAAACAAAACATCTGTATTTTGTTTTGGCAGCTCTTAGTTCTGATGCAACACACACACACACACACACACACACACACACACACACACACACACACACACACACACACACACACACACACACACACACACACACACACACACACACACACACACACACACACACACCACACACACACACACACACACACACACACACACACACACACACACACACACACACACACACACACACACACACACACACACACACACACACACACACACACACACACACACACACACACACACACACACACACACAGTAACAGCTGAAAGTGGCTGAATACACTATTTCCCACAAAGGGAAAGGATTATATGCGCTATATTTCAACAATCGTGCACAGAAATGTGAATGTTGCCACGGCGACAGCTCTGTTTTCAAGAATATTTACAGCTGGAAATATTTGTCCCTGGTGCTCTCTTACTCTCTCTCTCTTTGGCAAGTAACCCAGCATGCATGCAAACACACACTCTTTTTCCCCTCCTCTTGAAAAAGTGAATCATGGCAGAGGATTATGAACATGGCAAAAGCACAAACAGCCTCTGCAGGATCAACAGTGGAGCAAGCTGGACCGTAAAATCACCCTTAAAAACATTTCTTTAGTCAGACTACATGAACTGAGCTCCACCTCCTCACACACATCCATCATCAAGTTGTGCTGTTCTGCAAACATTTACTTCTTCAACCACTTTTGAGTAAATACTCATTCCTACAAGATCATATTTCCCTCTGTATCATAATTGGGGACAGGGTTTTATGGCTAAGCGGTTTCACATTCTGAGCCAAAGTTGTGTTTAATTCAAGATGTCAGACTCTCACACAATTAAGCTCCATGGGGCCACATTAGCTAAAGAGACCCCGCAATTATTTCACCGGGCCCACACAATGCTGCTTTTGTGACATGGAGCTCCTTGTGGTGATCATAGGTCAAGACACACACCCACCCCCCACACACACACACACACAACACACACACACACACACACACACACACACACACACACACACACACACACACACACACACACACACACACACACACACACACACACACACACACACACACACACACACACACACACACACACACACACACAACACACACACACACACACACAACACACACACACACACACACACACACACACACCACACACACACACACACACACACACACACACACACACACAACACCACACACACACACACACACACACACACACACAAATACCAAACTGGATTCCAGCACACTGACGAAAGCAGTGATGCATATTAGACTTGTCTGAAAGCCAGCATGAAAACTAATGAAAATGATGCAATAACTTAGTTGACATTGAACTTCTTCTCAGACAAGCACTTTCCAACACACTCAGTAGCATGACATCAATCTTTACTATTGCCTGTCTGTCAGCGTGCACGTTGTGAGGTTTTGTCTGTTTCCAATTGCAATGGAAAAGAGAAGTTCTTTTTTGCTCTAATTGGGACCATGTTGAAGAATCCTGATTGATCCATTCATCATGGAGAAAATGTAGATTTAAGCTGTGCAAACAGACTTCAAAGCTCCGCAGGGACTCTGAGAAAACATCAGTCAAGATATAATTGAAAACATCATAGAGCAGAGAGGCCGGCAGGTATCTTTCTCATGGGTTTTAAAGGTCATCAAGATCATCTAAAAACAATGGCTCCCAAAAATTAGAACAGGTTGGGGGTTGCCATGTTTCAGTGTTATACTCCCAGTATAAACAGAGACTTTGGACCTAGACCAATCCGACATTAAGCATCCCATGGGATCAACTGATCTTATCAAATGGGGGTCTAATGCATCTACCCTCAAAATACAGACTTAAAACCCCTTAAGACTTTCCCATGGTCTGGAGCATGTTGCCACTTGACTTATTATCCTCATGTCAGTTGAGAGTCGAAACGTCCAAATGTTGTTATTGTTTCAATATCACACCATAGGGACTAAATGTTTGTCTACTTTCTGCTACTAAATAATGAGTAAATAGAGTACTTGGTTTGCCTTTCTCAATGAATCGTAAGCAAGAACAACCCTACTTTAACATTCCTCTAAATACATTGAAAAGTAACTGAACATTCATTGAGTTATGGTCCTCCTGTAAAAGCACGCCAGTCTTGCCGTAATGAAAGCATCTTTCTCAAAATATCATCTTGTGTAACACATTTAGTTTCCAGGAGCAGAGCGAAACAGTTTCACCATTCATTCATATTCAGCAGTCAAACTCCTGAGCCAGCAGAAAGTTCTCCAACAGCAGAAGAAGAAACACATGATCCAGCAATAAGAGACAAACGCAGAGAGCACATACCTTCCAACAGCTGAGCGGAGGAGCGATGGCTGCAGAACCGGAGCACTAGCAGAAATATTCCAAAGAACCAGGGAGGAATGCTGTAAAGAAAAACAAAAAAAGAGTTAGGAAACTGACTTAAAACTACTTTTTGATTGGGAACAAAGTGCCTTTCATTTACCGTGAAGTCATCTTCAGTGACGGTAAGCTTAGATCCAAACTAAAGTTGTCCTGTTCATGTGTGATAGCCCTGGTAAGAGAGAGAGATGGAGCTCACTCTGCCTGCCCCGCTCACTCACTCCAAACTAAAAGCCTCACACTCTCCTCCTCCTCTCTCTCTCTCTTTCTGGTTCACAGTCAAACAAAGGCAGCTTCAGTGATTCGGACTCAAGGGGCCCTCGCAAAACTGAAATCCGACTCCGCGTGTCTCTCTGTGGACCACCGCTTTTCTAATCCAGCCCTCCCCTCAGAAATCACAACTCCAAATACAAATTAACACACTCCGGTTAAGTCCTCCTCCTCACTAGTGTGGTTTCTCTCACTGTCGCACTTTAAAAACACTTTTCTTGTGTGGCCTTGACGGGAGGAGATGTTTCAGAGGCAGCAGCATCAAGACCAAATCTTAGAGACATCATTGGATCAAAGTAAATATTCAAACAATTAAAAACAAAAGCTTATCACTGGCATTAGAGGAATGTGCTGTTATTCATTACAGCCCAAGTCACAAAAAACTGCTTGATGTCAATTCCACATTTTACGTTGAATGCATTAAAGCATTTCTGGACAATACTACTGCTTTTAAAAACTTTGCATTTCCGATTGGTTCCTTTTTGAGTAATCTTGAGGAATTCCAGGCAAATTGGGAATTCTATCCCATGTCCTGAATTCAGTGTCACAGTGAGGTTAATAAACTGTGTGTGTGTTACCTATTATACGAGACAAATGTCACCTGTTAAGAAACAGTTTGCCACAAACCCCGAACGTCTTTACTCTCAAAACGTAGGTGGTGATCAGTCATGTAATCCTGAGAATACCAAACATCTGCACTTTTCAGCTGCTCTCTCAAAAAGAAACAGAATTTCCCCACAAATACATTTCATGAATAAGAAAGTAGACCCCACAATGGTAATGCGCTTTCCATGAACTAAGAGAATAGATTGAGCAGAAAATGTCCAGGTGTATTTAAGTCGAGGTGAGTAATCTTCTATCGTTTTCTCGGCTGGCGATGATGCCATCAGTGATTCATCTGCCTCGATGTCTGGACTCAAGAGCAAGATGAAATGTCTGCCAACAAACAAGGACAAACATCCAGGAGTCTAGCTGCAGGAGCCAGTGTGGTGAGGGGAAGTCTGATAAAGATGTGTTCAGACCTTGTTTCTGACAGCTCAGACAGATAACAGCCATCACGGCGTGTTAGTGAGGCGGCATCAGTGATAAGCCATCCTCACTGCACTGACCTTACTTCACTGACCAGTGCTCATAAATCTGTTGTAACTGTACCTGATCTTTAGCTAACGAGCATTCTTCATAAAACATAATCTCATCAACAACTTTCTTGCAAGCATCATTTCAAATGCCAGTTGGGATGTAAAGGAGAAACCTTGAGAGTCAGTATTGGTGACCGGGCCTCTTTTTGTGTACCCTAAACAAGGATTTCGTGGTATTGAAATACTGACCTCCATTACCCATAAGGGGTGAAAAATTGCCTACTAATTTCCCGGGAAGGATATTCATTACACAAAAAGTTGTCTTTCTTTTGGACAAGTGATTCAGAGTATACAACCTATAATATCATTTTGGTATTGGTATTACTATAGGGGCTGTTACACCAACACTAATGGCGCTTTTCCACTGCAGGGCCTCGCTCGGCTTAGTACGGCATGGCTAGGCCTCGTTAGGCCTTGTTAGGCCAGGCTCACTTTATGCTGCGTTTCCAAGTAGCTGGGGCAGTAACTATAGTAACGCAGTGTAGGCAGAGCCCTGACGTAATCTTCAATGCGAAACACAAAACCAACATCAGCCGTTAGCTGTTAGCCCTCAGAGCTTCTCATATCTTTTCAGAAACTAGACAAAAGTTAAATAAGTACAAACCACAGACTGTCTGTGTCATGGTTTATTTATGTCTGTAGGCCGTTGTTGTGAGTGTGGACGGTCGGAGCATATACTGCGTTAGCTTAGCAGATCTCCATTCGGAATACACGCATTTTAAAAGGTTTTTCGCCTGCCGTCTGTCTGCAGACTTGTCAAAGCATGAATTCATGGTTTTTACTAACCGGTGTCAGTATGTTGTTACTTCGGCATCATTTTGAAACGTGTATTACAATTAAATCACGGTAAAATATGTTCATTTAGTTGTAGTTGCCAGCGATTCTCTCACTAGTTTAGCATACTCAGCCCGGTTGTTGGCCCGGAAAGAAGCTCGTTTTTGGAGAGCCAGAAAAAGTGTGAAAAAGTACCCGCTAGCCGGAACTACGCCTAGTGGAAACACAACCAAAAACAGGCCGGGCACGGCACGCTTAAACCGCGCTCCGCCCTGAAGTGGTAATGCGCCATAAGATGTGTTTACAACAATCAGTCACTATAAGCCTAATTTGAGGCCTTCATCACCAGGTGTTCTCATTGCTTCACAGGTGTCAGGCTTAGTCACAGTTTCTGAGTCACAGCAGGTGATGGAGTTCTGTTTTGATCAAAACAAGCAACTCACACATAAGAGTCTGTGTTTATGTTTCAGTCTTCATTTATTCTTAAAAAGACAGCTGTTTGTTTGAGGTGCATTTCGTTGAATGCAAAACTAGCAATTTGCTGTACTTTCATTTGCAGCACTGTCTTTGGTGGTTGTTGTAGTGTTTTTGCCATGTACGGTGAAGAACTGCATTTTTCTTTAGCTTGCCCTTCATTGAGTATTTTAGTGGCCCAAATCTAAATACACCTGCAACGTGGAACGAAAACTTTCTTTTTTCGAAGTCCAGTTCTGTGAATGCTCAGACATCTCAAAAGGGCTCTAAGTGGATTTCCCAGCGCAATTTAGTTGCATAACAACTGAAACGATGTACTGAACAATGTTGGAAACGACAATATTTCTTCAATGGATGTTTGTTTTATGAAAAACAACCTAAAAAGTATTGTTGGTTTCCAAGTATACTCTGACTGTTGCCCCCTTTACACCCACACTCAGACTACTTTAGCGATCTCACCTAAAGTCTGTATATTTGGTTGTAAACAAAGTGGAAAGCTCCCTCATGTGAGGAGGGAAACAAGGAGACAAAGAGCAACAGTTTCTATGCAAAGAAAACAGTAACACAGAGGAGAGGGGGGGTGAGTGAGTGAGTGAGTGACTTCAGCCTGTGGGTGGCTGCAGATTAGAGAGGGGGGTCCAAGTCTCAGGTCTTTCTGCTATGAGTCAGAAAGATACCAGACAGTCACCGCTCTTCAGCTGACTTTGTGAGAAAGCAGGCTGATCTGCCCCAGCTGACATCAAAACGCACCAACGAACAAAAAGAAAAACACATCTGTTGCCAGTGAAGGGCTCGGAGTCTGAAAGGAGGGATTTTCCATGTTGTTACCCGAAGCTGTTTGTGATTTAATAGACTGCGGTGCTGCGGAAAGACATTCAGAAATGCAGTGATCAATTCAGAAGATACAATTCAAAGTATAAATAACAGAGTGTGAAATGAAACTAAAACTATACTTTAATGATATTTGATATCTCAATCCTGGATTGATAAGATATGATAAAGGTCCACCAAGAATCGCATATCTTACACATTTCGTATAACCTTTGCAATAAATCAGATTCTGAAAAGTCAGGTCTTGCAGAACAAAAGATGCAGTGCTGAGAAATGAAGAATAGAGTGAGGAAACTGTAATGGGGAACCAAACAGCCTCTCTAGATAAGAAGCGTTTTCTGCTGCTCATATTTCAAAATGCTCATTATCAGAGGCCAGGATTCCTGGCAGAGACTCTGACTCTCAGGAAACTGTGATAAATGATGTGTGAGGAGAATAAATGCTGGGCAATCAAGTGGTTGATATGTACATCAGTTCACAGCTAGTGCTTTGATAACTTAACATTATAATATCATATCTAAATATAAGGATATGTGAAGTATACAGTTGTTTGTATTCTAAACATATGGTTGTGGTGGAATGTTTAACAGTGTTATGGAATCTTCTTCCATATTCTGACCAGCGAATAAAGTATGAGAATGCATTTGGATAAAAGAAAATAGTCATTCCTCTGTGTTACCTTGACCTTTCATTTATCACTTTTTTCAAGTGAGCAGAAGCTTGCTGCTTTTTGAGAAATAGCATTGCTTCATTGTGTTTTTAGCCACGTATTAGTATTATTCTTGACTTTTCACGTTCGCTGCCTTCACACGATGACTGACAAGGACTCCCCAGTCTTCGGGGTTTTTGAGTTGCAGCGGTCTGAAAGCCGGGGGCGTGTTGTGGGATCAAAGGTCACGCTTCATCTCAGAGAGGGATTGACGGTAAGGCTGCAATATGTGCGGTCACACAGCAAACAACAAGTGCTTCTGGTGCTTTTTAAGCTGGAATTCAAACACAATGTTCACAAAGGGGGCTACTGAAAACAAGAAGGGGTCCGCTATTCTGGGTCACAATGATTGGCAGGGACACGAGCTACAAGGTCGAGCTGCTTTTTAAAGTGAAAGAACTTGATTTAGAGCCTGAATAGCCTACAGACGGAGGTAAAAGAGAACAATATATTTGTTTATGATTGGGTTCAGAAAATAAGGATTAACAGACCACACATTCAAAGACAAATATAGACAATGTGCTACAAACTTGAATCTCCATAGTTGGGAGTGACTTTTTATGTTGTAGATAGACAGCTGTTCTAAATCTCAATCAAATAACTCCAATAATGTCGTTACATGTGTAGTTTGACAATGTTCTTGTCGGTTTTTAGAAGTGTGACACATTTTCTGGTCTGGAAAAAAGTGTTTTCAGCAGCCGAAAAGCGATGAAAAACGAAAAATATCTGGCTTAAAATATGTATTAGCCCCACTTTAATATTTTGTACGAACATGGCTGTGATTACAGGTTTTTAAGCTGCATGAGAACATACCGCAGGGAGAAATGCCAAACGGTATTTTAAATCCCATTTATCTTCAGATCTACTGCTTCAGTGTTATCGTCTTCAGGTGCGAACGTGTTTACAGGTGCTCATGGCTGTGAGTGTGAAATGTAAAGAAGTTCACTGACTTTATGTAACTCTGGGTGATGATAGGAGTCGTGTTTGAGAGCCTGGGCTCTGCATGGTAATTATGAAGTTAAATTATCATTCTGCGTTCGTGTTTAGCTTGGATTTCCAATGTAAGCAGCCTGGATGTAATGGAAACGTCAGTCAGGGTGGATTCAGAAGCAGCGGCCAGATATTGTTCATTCATTCTGCGCCTGGCTGTGCAGCTGCAGCTAGGAGCGGAAAGTAAGGTGGAAAATAAGAAAAAGTCCAAAA